GCTCTTGCTCCGCTTTGCCGTGGAGCTGTGCCCGGGGCGGCGCTGCGGCCGCGTTAGAGCCGCGCTGTGAAGAGAAGCGTTCGCGAGGGTGTGTGACGGGGAGCGGGCGTTCGTCCGGCTCAGGCTGCCTGTGCTCCTCCCCTGCAGGATAAGGAGAAGAAGAAGAAGGAGAGTATTCTGGACCTCTCCAAGTACATCGACAAAACCATCCGGGTGAAGTTCCAGGGGGGCAGAGAAGGTGAGGTGGGGCCCGGGCCTTTGCAGCTCCCTCCGGCGCCTTTCCCCGCTCCGGCGGTCCCGTCGCTGTGCTGTAGGGAAGGACGAGCAGCCGCCAGTGCTGTTGTCTGTTTGCTGTTACCGGGGAGAAGCGTCTCTTCATTAATCCCCTGGCTGTAATTTTATCTTTGTTTCATCTGCACACCTTTCTTTCATCTTCTTTTATTAGTTGTCTTCAACTGTCTTATTTCTTTTGGCTGTTGTTTTTGGTTTTTTTGGTTTTTTTGGTTGTGGTTTTTTTTTTTTTTTTCCACGTTGCAAGGGTGCACTTAAAGCAGCAAAGAAACATTTATGGGTAAGCGTTTATGTTATAAGCTGAAAGAGGGGGATTTAGACTAGACATGAGGAAGAAATGTTTTCCTGTGCGGGGGGTGAGGCAGTGGCCCAGGGTGCCCAGAGAAGCTGTGGATGCCCCATCCCTGGAGGGGTTCAAGGCCAGGCTGGATGAGGCTTTGGGCAACCTGGGCTAGTGGGAGGTGTCCCTGCCCATGGCAGGGGGGTGGCACTGGATGGGCTTTAAAGTCCCTTCCAACCCAAACCAGTCTGGGATTCTGTGTTTCTATGGATGTTATGATTAATACACCTGCTCTCCTTTTCATTGCTTAGGGTACTAAATGTGCCTGGAGTTCATAGATTGTTTCAAAATATTTCACTGTGTCATTTCATCACATTTGAGGCTCTCAGAGGGAGGTCCTCCTCCTGCCTTACGTGCTCCCTTGCTGGATCTGCAGCTGTCTGTCCCGATGCCGCTGGTGGTGACACCTGCAGAGCACTTCTTTGGCTGAAAGTGAACAGCATGCGGTGTGGGAGATGCTCAGCAGAAGCTTTTGCAAAGCAAACTCGGTTTGCTTTTAAATTTTTTTTTGTCTTTTTTGGGCAATTGACCATTCCATTGAATCTATTGGTTTAGATTTTCTTATAAAAAAAAATTCATGCCAAGTTCCTTTATAATCTTAATATATCTGGGATTGTAAGAGTCTCTTATTTGATTTGGGCTGTTAGCAATGAAGGTAATGCTGGTTACCAACAACTGTTTTTCAAACTGGGCGATTGTTCTGTGCAGTCTTGCGATTTATTTAGTGACCAGTCTTGTGGAATTGCGTTCTCATTTATGGCAACGTGCTTGTCTGCCTGCAGTGCACTCCTGTGAAGGCAGTGCTTATGCTAAAGAAATTATGTTCCAGGAGATGGGACCTGGAAGATGGGTTTTTGAGTATTACAGTCTGAATACATTCTGAATATTATATTACAGTCTTGCCTTTTTTTTATTTTTTTTTGCAATACCTCTTCACTAAAGTTATTTATTTGGTTTTGGGTTTGGGATTTTTCTTGTGTGTATGTGACTTGTATTGATTTGTTCTGCTGAAGTATTCATTCTTAAAATTGGCTGAAAACAAAAATGTGAAAATGTTAGCCTCTTGAAGAGCATTTTGAAGAATTGGTTGAAAAAAATGTAAGTTTCAGTTGGCACATCAGCCGAGTCCTCCTGTATATGCACTTTGATAAAGAGAGCACTGTTTAATATCTCTGGTCTCATTTCCTTGATAGCCTTGCTTGATGGAGGGAACAGAGCTGGAGAACTGAAGGTGTCTATCACACAGTCTTGTGATGCTGTATGCCTGGTTTTCGTCTCTAATAATTGTTTTGTGTGTTTGTCTTCAATAGCAAGTGGCGTCTTGAAAGGATTTGACCCTCTTCTGAACCTTGTGCTTGATGGTACCATTGAATATATGCGAGGTAAGTAATATGCTATCTGTGTAAAGTTTTTTGGGTTGTTTGTTTTCCCCCCCCCAAGAATAATTTTCTTAACAGAAATCTTGCAGCTCTGAGTGAATAACCAGAAACTGCAGGTTGACATCATCTGACCTGAGACATGTTTGTGATAACTACATTGTAAAGAAAGGAATAAGATAACAGAAGTTATATAAAGCACATTTACTGTGGTAGGACTTTCTTGGTAGTCCTTGCTTGAGCTCCTCTGTAACTCCTTTGTCACTTTTCTCCTCTAATGCTTGAATAAAGTATTGTGTCTCCCTTCAGATAAGGCAGTTGCCTTTGCTTTTGTTTATACTGCTGGAGGGTTGCTGGTTGCTCAAAGCAGGACAAGCATCTCATCAAGAATGAGTATCTTACTGTCTTAAACTCTACTGTAAATCATTCCTGCGAAACTGAAGCCTTCTGTAGATTCTTAGAGCTCATAGAGCTGTAGGGTTTTTTCTTATTTGTTTCTTTTTCTCATCTGAGGATAAATACAGTCATTTCCATTTCTCTGCTCTGAAACAACATCTATCCTATGATAGGACAGTGTTTTTTAAGCATTCTCTTGCCTGCTTACAAAGAAGCACCTGAAGCTTTAATTTTGCTCCTAGAAGAGAGTTTTGAAAGATGTGTAGTGCTTTTCTATCAAATATATTGACATATCAGGGAGGATAGAATTGACTATTGCTGTCTTCAGTGTCTGTATGTCTCCATCCACATCCTTGTTTGGCTTGATCTAGGAGTGGACCACTGCATTCTGTCCTTAGTGCATTCTGAAGTCAGGGTCGTCTTCTGATTTGCATTGATCCCAAAATGCTTGTCTATAATGACATTTGAAATGGGATCAGGAGCTTTTTTTAATCACTTAAATGCATGCTTTTGGTTAGATGAATGAAAGGGCCTTTGAAATCTTTAAAAGATATGTGTTCTGCTTTGCATACAAAGCAAAGTTCCTTGTTGCTCGCTGTGGTATGTGCTACTTTGAAAATTAGTAATGTCTTGAAGACATCAGGTATTACTGGTGCATCACTGTTGTAGTCCGTGTGTTCAATAAAACAGTGCAGAGATGCCTGGAAAAAACCTGTATGTCTGTGCCTTTTGAAGTTGATGGAATTTGGTTTCTTTTCCTTATGTTGCCATTGTAACCATGTATCTCTGCTTTTCAGATCCAGATGATCAATACAAATTAACAGAAGACACACGTCAGCTGGGACTTGTGGTCTGCAGAGGGACTTCTGTGGTTCTTATTTGTCCACAGGATGGAATGGAAGCTATTCCAAACCCTTTCATTCAGCAGCAAGATGGCTAATGCTTTCTTTGTATTGTCTCTGAAGACTTCAAGGGTACAAATCATCAGAGAAAACTACCTGTGTGTGAGAAGCTTCCTGTTTTGGGAGAGGAGTTTGAATGTAGTGTGAAAGAACAGTCAACTTTTATTTTTGTCGCTTTCCATAAATGATGAGAGGATGGTGCATGGTGTATAAGGAGTAAGTTCTGATTCCTGCCACCCCCAATAAATGTGTAACTATGTTGTTTAGAGCTGACAGGAGAGAATAATACTGTCATGGAATTGTCTGAGACCCTCTTGATCTTCTAAGTTTTGAAAAAAACACATGAAATTGGTAAAGAATGCCCTGAATATTGGTTCTGTTATTTACACTTTTAAATACATTAAAAATGTATTTAATCTAAATCTATCTAAAGCCATTGGAACATGTTTTTCTTCCTCTTAGATGTCAGTACTCAGCTGGGAAGCATTGTGTTGTAGTCTTCCTGCTGTTGAGTTCAGTCTCGTTTGCCTGCTTGCTCCGGTACATGCAGGAAAACTACTTTCCTTGTATAGTACCTTGTCATCACCTTTACAGGCTGTGTATCTAAGCAGGTCTTTCCTAGCACTTGTTCCAGACCTTATGGGCTGGCTGTGATCTGTGTATCGGAAGATTCCCACATTTCTACAGAAGGACTGGACTAACTTCTACAATTATTCTTGGCTGAGTGACATGAACATTATGGAAGTATCTATTCAATACTTGGAATTTTAGAGGAAGACTATTTAAGATCCTAATGTTCATTTGTAGGCAGTGTCTGGAAATACTGCATATTTTTATATTGTAACTGTCCACTTGTGGTTCTGCTTGTTATAACTTGATTTGTAAGTAAACATTTTTATTTCTTTTATACTGCAGAAAAAGCAAGATTTGAAGAGTTTTGAATGAATAAATTCAAATTAATCTGTTCTTAAATGTCTGGGTTTTAGTCTGATAAAGTGCTCTACAGCTGACATTGCAGCTCTCCACAGTTTTAAAGGAAGTTTGTTCAGGAGATGTGGAAATGCAGTAAAATCAGGAGGGACCAAATTGGAAGCCATGCTTCACTCTAAGACAGGAAATCAATGAGAAATGACTGAGAACATTTGCTCCCTTTTCTGAGGGCTCCTGCATTTCTGTTAGGCATTTTAAAGACTGTCTAGTAGAGGATACGTGCCTGTGGGCTGTATGTAACATGCTGCCTGCTTTTCCTGAGAACTTCGTAAAAAGAGGCTGTGGGAGAGTAAATTGTTTTGGTGGCAGCAGCAGTCTTGTCCCTAGAGGTTGTCAAGAGAACATGCCAAGGACAGGTTGTCATGGCTGTTCATTTTGGCAACAGCACTGCACTCCTGTTCACAGACTTTCCTGGGTCAGCTCTGAAATGGAGGGGATCTTGAAGTAAATAAATTCCAGTTCAGTGTATCAGACTTTTCCAGGAGGCTATGAAACTAGTGACCAGTTGTCTTGTGTGACATACTGGCTGTGCAAACTTAAGTGCTTCTGGATTTTAGTACCCCAGGGGTTCATTCTTTTGAGTGTCTCGCAGAGCTGTCTGTAGAGCCACGTTCCTTCCAATGTAATTTTTTAATAATGCTACAAAACACAATTTTGAAGAGGCTCCTTATTTAGAGTGTTTGGATCAGAATTTGCTCACCATCAGCCTCAGCAGAGTCTTGAACTATCCCTTAGGTGGAGAGAGGCTGCTAGGTGTTGATGCTGATGGCGTGCTGCACCATCCCTGCCTTCTCTTGGTTTCTGAGTGTAACGTCAGAAACAGACCTGTCGAAGCTCTCTTGAGTGGATTCCAGGCTCCAGATACAGAGAGATCTGCCTGAAGTTATGTGTCAAGTGCATGAGGTCTGGAGAGGGGCATTTTTGCAGCATTTCCTGCTCGGTCTTCATTGCAAAATACGTGGCTGTCCTTTTCTGCAGTGCAGACTTTGGGATTCTATTTGGGAGTCAAGCAGCTGAAAATAAGAATATGAAAATGATAATTGATTTTTGAATGTGTGTATGCTTTTTTATTGGATCCATTCCTAAATGTGACTCTATAAAACCATTTGTAACAGCAATTTTGCAGAAATGCAGGAGGGAACCTCCACGGGGTAAAAAAGTGTTCTTGATCCAGATAGTGCTGTTCTACTTGCTGAACTCCACTGAGAAATGGGACTGAGTCTTGCTGGGATGGGCTCTTTGGGATAAGAGGCACTAGTTCAAGGTCACTGCGCAAATCTTTCCACTTAATAGCTTGGTCTAAACACTCTGGAAGAGGTCTCTGTGTGGAGGCAGTGAGCTGCTGCTTGGACTCTGGCTGTGTGTGAGATCGAGGATGACTGAATACGTGACAGCCACGTGGGTTTGAATGGGGGCTCAGTCCTTTCCCCATCTCTTACTAAAGTATAAAGTTAAATATATGTTAAATACTGCAAGGAGTCTGGCAAACTTGAGCTGATGTAGCTTTGGGGAAATGTGTATTTCTTCCCAGGAAGTCTCAGGCAGGATTTGCAGGAGTGAAAAGTATTGCTGTAGGTATTTTTTTCCAAATAGGTTCAATGTTCTACAACTTTTTGATATTTAGTCTGTGCTTAGAAAGGTCTTGTTGTTTCTCTTCTTTCCTCCTCATAGTCCAGGCTCTTTGCTTGGCTAACACCTCCCCTGATTTTGCTGTGGTCACACCTGGTTAAGGGAGATGCCAATTAAATCTGTGGTTTTTTGGTTATACAGTTATCCTGCTATTGTTGCTCTGAAAGCAGCAGGAAAGACAGAAGAGCAAAGCAGCAGGGTAGAAAACATACTCTATTTTTAGGACGAGAGTGGCTTATCTTGTATTTATCCTAGCTAGGGGGATCGTGTTTCCAGAGACCTCACATGAGTAAAGGCTGCATAAGAACGCAGTTAATTTTAACTGCCTGGCAGTCAGCAAGCATGGAGCCTGCACAAGAACCAGAGGAGCTGAGACCTCAGGCAGAAATGATTGCAGACACAATTCTTGAGGTTGGAGAGAGACTCTTTCAGGTCAGCCGTAGGGTACTTTCAGTACACAGTCGTTATTTTGAAGCCATGTTTTCTGGGGGGACAAGAGAGAGCTCCGAACACCACATAGTGATCAGAGGGATTGATGCTGTGCCTTTTCAGGCACTACTTGAGTTCACTGGCACTGCCCAAGTGCTTATAGGTCAAGAAAATGTGACCAGCTTACTGGAAACAGCTGATTTTTTTCAGTTTGACAGGGTTAAACTGTTGTGTGAGAAATTTCTGGAGAGAGAGCTGCATGTTTCCAACTGCCTGGGCGTGATGACCTACTCGCAGCAATTTGGCTTTCTAGAGCTGTATGCATCTGCTATGAATGTGGCTCTTACTCACTGGGGGGATGTGGTGTGCCAGGAGGAATTTAAGGCACTACCCAAAGAAATGCTCATGCAGCTCTTAAAAAGCGATGACCTCTTCGTTTCGCGGGAAGATGTGGTTTTTGACAGTATTATCAGGTGGATCATGGAGGACCCAGCAACGCGAGAGGAAGACTTTCTGGATTTGGTGGGCGAAGTCAGGGTCACTTTTCTGAGTTTGTCCTTCCTTGATATCTTGGTGAAACACAGCAAGCGCTCTGGAGAGACAGATACATTTTCCAGGCTAATAAAGAAGTTAGACAGCTGTCCTCCACCCAGCTGGCAGAATACAGAACTGCGTTCTTACACTGGTCGGAGCTATGACACCTTATATGTCCTCGGAGGAAAGCACGACAAGGAACAGCAAGAATTGTTTCTCTTTCAACCTAAAACAGGGACCTGGCAGGCTTGCTCTCCACTGCAGCGCAGGAACCTCACCCAATACGCGGTGGCAGCAGTAGGTAACTTACAGAGAAGTGGAACTGAGCAAATGCACACAGAAGTTGAGGCTTAGAGACCCAAATGCAGGGAGTTCAGCTGCTTCTCCTATGAAACTGTGGTTTCAGTGCTGCTAAAACCTCATCCGTATTTGTTCAAAGAATGTTTTTGTTTTCCTTAGTCCTGGGAGAATGCTAGACAAGGCTAAATATTCCTTTTCGTATAGCAGAAGCTATTGAACTCCTTACGTTAGCTTTCTCTGGAGTGAATCTAATGACTTCACCTGAAGCAACGTATCTTTTTGGCCTTCTGTTTCATGCTAGTTTTGACAGATGGTGACTTCTGATTTATTGTTGCCATTAAGTTAAACTTACCCACGGATGTTGTGAAATCTTTGGGCTTGGAGACTTTCAATACTACGGCTTCCCTTCTTTAGTGTTGGTGATGGTCCCATTTCCAGCGGGAGTTTGGACATGAGGTCCCCAGAGGTTCTTTCCAAGAGGTGTTTCCATGATTCTGCTCATGAGTGGGAGCAGACTTGGAAGGACTCACTGCATCCTATTGGCCCAGCATAACATGCAGATGAGGAATTGAACACTGCAAACTGACACAAAGAGCTCTGCTCCTCTTGCACCTCATGAGTACAGCCTGGGGAGAAATGAAGGACCCTAGTTCTTGGGAGCAATTTTCAGTCTTCATGTAACTGATAGTGTTCTCTGCTGTCTTTCCAGGAAGCTTCCTTTTTGTGACAGGAGGATATTTCCGGGATGAGTTTGTGTGGTATAGTGTGGATTGGGTGCTTATCTACAATTGCTTGGACAACAGCTGGCTGGAAGGGCCTGCCATGAAGAAGTCCCGCAATAGCCATTGTGCAGTGGGCGCAGGGCTCTACCTGTACATCCTCGGAGGGAGCACAGATGAAGGGATAATCCCAGCCGTGGAGCGCATGGCTTTGGTGGAGTCAGAGTGGGAAAGCATGAGTCCTATGGCTCAGCCTGTGGAGAGAGGAGATGCAGTCAGCGTGGGAACCAGGATCTATGTGGTCTGTGGTTTGGATGAAAATGGACATGTGTATGATGGAGTGCAAAGGCTGAACACAGAGACAGACAGCTGGGATGTCATCTCATTTTCCCCGCTTCCAAGGTAAGAAATAATTTTCTGGGACCTGGCAGGAGAAGAAAAGTTCTAGTGTTGGTCCTGCTTCAAGAAGTGGTTGGACTAGAGAAATCTTTATGTCATGTCCTACCAACACTTATCATAGAATCATAGGCTGGTTTGGGTTGGAAGGGACCCACCCCCCTGCCATGGGCAGGGACACCTCCCACTAGCCCAGGTTGCCCAAAGCCTCATCCAGCCTGGCCTTGAACCCCTCCAGGGATGGGGCATCCACAGCTTCTCTGGGCACCCTGGGCCACTTCTGTGATTCTCTGTTTAAACGGGGCTCTTGATATGAGGACCAAGATCACATTGAATATTTCAGGGGCTGCATCTTTCTATTGAGTCTGATCAAGGTTTCCTGCCTCCTAGGTATGACCTCTGCATCACGTCACTGAATGGTGCTCTGTACACCATAGGAGGGGGAGCTTTTCGATTTGATGTGGAGACAGATGAATGGACCCAGGTGGATGAGGAATGCTTGACCCGCAAG